TATATATATATATATATATATATATATATATATATATATATATATATATATATATATCGTGTGTGTGTGTGTGTGTGTGTGTGTGTGTGTGTGTGTGTGTGTGTGTGTGTGTGTGAGAATATTGCGAGTTTAAGTTTTGTTATATGCTTACATTGATAAAGTTTTCTTTGATTAATAATGTTTTATAGAAAACGGTGCTAATTTTATTTCTTTTTTTTTTTTTTTTTTTGCTGCTGGCATTTTTGATTTGAAATATCTTTGTATGTGGACTATGTTATGTGAAACATACGTGTATATAGGCTGACGTACAACTGAATGAATGGAAAATTGTCATTGAGTCGGATGTCCTGTGTATCCAGTGAAAGAAATTGAAATATGTGATATGGTCTAGACATTGACGCGTTTTCCCGCCAAATTTACCTTAGCAACAAGTAGCCCCGCCCCTTGCAGCATCTATAATTAATGAAAGAGTATGGCTATACCGGAAGGTTGAGTTTGAGACAATCACTAATATGAAGATATACCTTGACAGTAAGAATGAAATTTAAATATGCATTGACTAATCTTGAAAATAGCTCATTTGTACAAGTTTCCTGTCCTTGAAGTTGATTGGCTAACGCACGAGCAGCGCTTCGTTCTGATTGGTCCCCGTGTACTCTGCATTATGATTGGCTGCGAAAGCCTGTGTTGGGCGCCATCACCACCTCCAGGAGTGTCTTGTGTTGACACGCTCATAGAAATTGCGTTTGGTGAGTGACATTCTTATTAACGCCAGTATTTCCGGGATGAGCTGGCAGTTAAAGTGTTAAAGAACTGTTGGAGTCATAGTGATAACCCCAAGGACTTCAGTGTAGTCTGGGAAAGAGCGCTGGAGTTGGGCTTGTCACCTTGCAGAGTGACCTACCCTCACGTGGTATACTGTATTTTCCTTTATATGAATAGAGTGATGTGCTATTAGTTCCACGTAGATCTTAAATGTGTCAAGTGCTTATACCTGATATGATGTTTCATAGAAGTGAAATTGTCTCATAGATGCGAGGGTGCAGGCTGGCTCCCTGTCATGAGATGCTGTACCTGTCGTGATATTTTTATGTTTATGTGTGATGAATTTGCTACTTGTCTGTCATTTGTAAGTGCTTATACATTCATTTATATATACGGTAGATATGCAAGTCTAGACTGATAAATATTCCTTTTTTGTGTGTGTGTAATGAATGTTCATTGAGTCGGGCTGTATATCTACAGATAGTTCCGAGTTTATTTCATATATGTTAATAGGCCCCAAGTCTTTTGAAAACATAAGAAAAGTAAAGCATTACACATCTTTTATTCATGTATCAAGAAAGCCCAGACTTAAATAACTGGTACTTTGTTCAATGACCTGTATTTCAGTACGTGGTTACCAATGTTTTATTTGTTTGCAGCTCGAATGTCTCCAAGAAAGGATTAAACCGTGTGCAAGAATCCAAGAGATTATTCTAGATGCCCTTATTGATGCAGGTGATGCTGACACGTTGCGCTGGTGGCCCTACAGTGTGACGTATTTTGTAGTTGGAGATACTGTTGGCTACAATATGTATATATATTTTTTTAGATATATATGTGTGTGTGTGTGTGTGTGTGTGTGTGTGTGTGTGTGTGTGTGTGTGTGTGTGTGTGTGTGTGTGTGTGTGTGTGTATGTGGAGTTTGTCTTGGTTATGGGTCTTTAGGCGTTCGACATCGGGTGTTCTGTGAATTTCAGATAGATAAGGAGGATTATCGAGAGGCTGGCTGTAATAAGGGAAAATATATGATAAAATGTAGGGACTGGAATAGCGGTAACAATAGATAGTGAAATACTCGATGAGCGTTCTGTGAATTTCAGATAGGTAGGAAGAATTACCGAGAGATTGGCTGTAATAAGAAAAACAATTATGATAAAATGTAGGGACGGGAATAGCGGTAAGACTATACACTGAAATACTCAGGTTCGATGAGTGTTTTGCGAATATCAAATAGATAGAAATGATTATGAAGAGACTGGCTGTAATAAGGAAAAAATTGATAATAAAATGTATGGATGGGAATAGCGGGAACAATATACAGTGAAATACTCAGATCCGAGAAGAAAGAAGCTTAGTAATTAAGGAACAATTCATATTCTTAAAAAAAAAAAAAATTCATTTCCCTGTTTTCACTTTCCATTGAGACGTGGGTGGGAAAGATATGCCAAAAAAGTCATTTCATTCATGATATTGTAATGCTGTTTCATAGCTGCAGTCTAGAGGAAATGAGAGTGAAGGTGAAATAAGAGCAGTTTGAAGAAAGGGGACAGTGGGTGAGTGTGGGAGGGGGGGGGGTGTTTATTGTAAAAGAAACTGAAATCAAATCAGGAGAAAATTTTAGTTCATTAATGATGATGATGATAATGATAGCAACAGCACTGACACTGATATAATCATTACCATCAATTTCTTCTGCCATTAACTAGAGGTGGTGATAATAAGTCATTAATAATATCACAGTTTCAAAGTAATCTAAACATCAAATCCTCTCATTACATGTTAGCAGCTATATTCTCTGTGATATGGTAAACAATGGCGATGTTCTACGTAGAAAGTTTATTAATTCTATAAGACGTTTTCTGATGTAATTATTCCTGGACGATTGAAAATATATTTTATATCTGATACTACTACCAGCAATTTAATATTGGCAATGCTAATGTAAATAATAGTAAAGATGGTCATGTTATTAACGCTGATGATGATGAAGGTATGGAAAAAAGAATGAGGGAGAGGGGGAAGGAAAATGAAGGAAGAGAATATGGATAGTCGTTTGAAAATTACCTTAGATGTGAAGGAATTTTGAGATCTGCGTCTTCCTTCGCCACTGGATCCTTAACAACGGCTCTGAGGGTCACTCAAGCCACGGTAGAAGCGGAATGTGGAAATGTTTAGCCTCATTCGGACAAATGGCAATTTTGCTTTTTGCAATCTTTCGATCAATAGTTTCTTTCTCTCTCTTTCTCTCTTTCTTTCTTTCTTCTCCCTCCCTCTCTCTCTCTCTCTCTCTCTCTCTCTCTCTCTCTCTCTCTCTTCTCTCTCTCTCTCTCTCTCTCTCTCTCTAATCTCCTCTCTCTCCTCTCTCTCCCTCTCTCTCCCTCTCTCTCCCCTCCCCCTCTCTCTTAAGCAGAGAGTTTCGCGAATGGTATCATATACATTTGCCCTTTTTCACTTTAAAAATAAATACATAATAACAAGATAAATAAATATAAACGTAAAATCGACAAAATTGGAACACTGAAAAAAAAAGATGATAGTTGAATAAATTAATGATACTACTGAATGGATAAACAAACAAATTGGCGACAGTTTCCCAACCTCTACTGGCACATCGCGTCGGCAGAAATCTCTCAACGTCTTCAGCCTCTGAGAAATCGTCCAGCCTCTCTTCGTGTCCCCCGTTTCCTCTCTCGAAGCCGACCTGTTCCCAGACATCAACCTCAACCAAGGCCTTTCCTGAGCGGGTTGTCATCTCCACACAAAGGCCGAGACCCGACGGCCCAGAAACACTGCAGGGAATTATGAGCCGATTGTTACGTCGCGCTTGTTATGTGGCGCGTATTGCGGGCGGGCTTGGTCGTCTGGTAAATGAACGATTTAGGGTGGACAAAAATGTTAATATAGCTTTCTCATGTAAAATATTTATTTATTTATTATTATTTTTTATGGATAGTATACTAGACCAGAAAAAATACCACCCGAATCAGTCTAATCCAAGATGGCCGACACTTATATGAACAAGATTTTCAAATAGATCAAATATCGGAACTAGATAACAATTTTTCTGTCATTTTCAATTAACTTTAGTTTAGTTATTAATGTCAAGGTCAGCAACAAAATTGATCCAAAATTGACCAGCCTCTTACACCTATACATATTTGAGACCAGTAGGGACAAGGTCAATTGTCATTATCAACAATATCTAGGCCACAAGATATCTGGTCACTAATTTCGTGATATCCTTTAGGCCTATATGATCACAGGTCAAGGTCATGGAATTAAGTCAAAGTTACAAATCATTTCGGTAACATTCCCAAATGATTATTAACGTTCATTGCGATCGTCGTCATCATCGCCTTTCCACTTGTCGCCCTTTTATGCATGAGATGCCTGGGCACTAGAGTCCATTCTTGCAGCAGGAACATGCCTTACTGCTGCATTTTCCACCGCAATTGCATCTGATTATCTTCAGGAGGCGCTTTGGTGTTGCAGAAAACGCTATCCCACTGTCATGCCATCTCATGTGCTAATCTAGAAATAGGTAATTAGTGTAACGACAGTTTGCGGGCGTGACGTCACCGTTGCCTGGGGCAAGGTTGGGTAGTTGTCTTGGTAGGCCCAAGCAAGGTGAACGTTCTTTTTAGCAGAGGCCGTCACGGTAATTGGACGGTGTGGTGTGGTAGTCCCGAGCTGTGGGCCACACTAATATCACGTCGGCTACTGACATTTTATAATTTAAACTATATGTCTTATTTTGTTATTTTTAGAACTGTGGGCTGCTATTTCAAGCTCTACTACTGACATTGCATGATCAAGCATGAAGATTGAAGATGCTGATCCAGAATATATGTGCGATATGAAATATATATATATATAATCGGTGAACTAACAGTTATCAGTGAAGTAGTGAACAATGAAAATGAACATTATAGCCCTGTGAACAATTAATTTCCTTGCGTGTTTTTTTTTTTAGCTTCGTGTTTATTTAAATTATATATACATTTGTTCTAGTATAATAAATACTAAATAATATGAAGTCTTTCTGTACAACCCATTAATTACAAATTCCTCTCATTCAAAAAAAACAGTGTCTTAACTGTGCCGGCAAACCCTCAATTGTAACAATCACCATCCTCACAATTATGGCGCCCGAACAGGGACCGGCGTAATGAGAGTACTTTGTTATTGATGGAATAATATGGATTATGTGTTCAAGCTAAAGTAAAATTTGAAAGATGGCGTCATTAGGAGATATAATTAAGTTAGGTAAGGAGATCGGATTGGAAGGAGAAGATTTGAGAAACTTCGCGTTAACAAGAGAACAAGAACTGAAGGAAGAAAAGCAGTATGAACGCGATGAACGAGCAAGAGAAAGAGAAAGAGAAAAGGAAAAAGCTTGGAAAGAAATGGAAATGCAAAATCTAGAAAGACAGCGAGCATATGAACTAGAAAAGCTAAGACTTGAACTTGAAAAAGCGAAACTGAACGAAGGTGGTGAAAGACTAGTGAAAACAGAATCTGTGTGTGCACCGAAGTTCCCAAAACTACCAGTGTTTAACGATCAGATAGACAGTATCGATGCATATCTGTTAAGTTTGAAAGATTTGCAACTAGCGCAGGATGGGATCAAGATGTATGGGCTGTTAGTCTATCGTCACTTTTGCAAGGAAAAGCATTAGAGGCTTATCAGCATTTATCTCCCACCGAAGTAAAAGACTATGAATCTGTTAAAGGAGCCTTGCTCAAATGTTTTCAGTGTACGGCTGAAGGTTATCGCTCTAGATTTAGAAATGCTAAATTTTTCAAAGGTGAATCCGGTATGCAGTTTGGTAATCGCTTGAAGAACTACTTGAAACGGTGGATTGATCTGTCAGGGGGAGAGAAGTCGTACGATGGATTGATGGATTTAGTGCTCATGGAACAATACATGAATGCGTGTGATAAGAGTATGATTCTATTCTTAAAAGAACATGAAGTTAAGAATTTTGAAGATCTAATTAAATATGCAGAATTGTATGTTGAAGCGCACGGTAATCCGAGCAAGAAATTTGTTGAACGAGAGGTTAGAGTTGTGAAGGAAATGTCGCACATCGAGTCTAAAGTTCAGGATGCGTCAAGTGCAGGAGTGTCTGGTGTTCATAAGGGTCAGTTTCGTAAATGCTTTGTGTGTGGTGGTTCGAATCATTTGTCGCGTGATTGTTTCTATAAGTATGGTGCGAAACCTAAGGATAGATCTGCGAAAGGCAAGGGTGAGAGTATGGCTGCTTTTGCTGCTAAGCATGGAAGGTTGAATGTTGCAAGAGGTGAGGTCGAAGGTGTAGCTGTGAATGTGTTGCGAGATCAAGGGTGTGATACTGTTTTGGTTAAAACTAGTCTAGTGCCGAGGTGCAGATTTACAGGTAGACATGTAAGTGTTAAAATGGCAATGGCATGATTTTCACCTATCCGAAGCTAATGTTCGAGTGAAGTGTCCATTCTATGTCGGAGGTACTTTGGCTGCTTGTTTGGAAAATCCCGTGTATGATTTGGTGATAGGTCAGGTGGAAGGTGTTAGAGACGGAGAAACTGTCAAATTAGGAGCCGTAACGACTCGACAGCAAGAAAAGCAGAGTAAAATCAAATTAGCTCCAAAGCTAAAGGTAAAGGAGGTGCTTGCTGAAATGAAAGATAATAATTTAGCTGAACAACAGAAGTATGATGTAACATTAAATAACATACGAAAATACGCGGAAAGTAAAAGGAGATTTCAGAAGTCTGATAATGAATATCATGAATTTATAGTAAAGAAAGGAATTTTGTACAGGAGGGTAGTTCACGCAGATAATGTCACTGAACAATTAGTTGTCCCGAGCGAGTCGAGGAATGCAGTTATGGAGATAGCCCATAGTTCACTGATGTCAGGTCACTTGGGAATAAAGAAAACGCTCACGAGAATTCAAAATAAATTCTTTTGGCCCGGTATGTCGTCTGAGGTGGCCAGGTTTTGTCGGTCATGCGATCCATGCCAGCGCACCGTTGACAAGGGAAGAGTGTCACGCGCGAAACTAGGCAGAATGCCGATGATCACCGAACCATTTCAGAGAGTGGCTGTAGATATCGTCGGACCCATCGAACCGCGCGCAGATGACGGGTCGCGCTACATCCTCACTATTGTAGACTACGCCACACGCTATCCCGAAGCCATCCCGCTAAAGAATGTGGAAACCGTGAGTGTCGCGGAAGCGTTAATGTCTGTTTTCAGCAGAGTCGGAATACCCAAGGAGATCATGAGCGATAAGGGGAGTCAGTTCCGGTCAGATGTGATGAAGGAATTTAATAGGTTGCTATCGATAAAGGGTATTAGCACGACACCGTACCATGCAATGTGCAATGGATTAGTAGAACGGTTTAACGGGGTGCTAAAGAAAATGTTAAAAAGAATGTGCGCAGAGCAACCGAAACAATGGCCTAGATATATTGCTCCGTTACTATTTGCCTATCGTGATGTTCCCCAGGCCAGCACCAAGTTTTCACCTTTCGAACTCATCTATGGCCATACCGTTCGAGGGCCACTTAGCTTGTTGAAGGACCTGTGGGAAGCGAGCGAGCGAAATATCACGGACGAAACTAGGACCGCATACGAATATGTAATCAATTTGCGAGAGAGACTAGCGGAGACCTGCAAAGTAGCCCAGGAAGAATTGCAGAAAGCAGGTGATTCCTACCAGTATTATTATGACAGGAAAGCAAAGATAGATACTTAAAGGAAGGCGATAAGGCTTTGCTGTTACTGCCTACTAATAGTAATAAGTTACTAATGCATTGGCGAGGTCCGTTCACTGTAGTAAAGAAAATAAATAAATGGAATTACATGATAAATGTAAACGGAGTTGATAAGAAATTCCACATTAACATGCTCAAACGCTACTACGAACGCGGCGAATGCGAGACCGAACGAACCGCGGATGACGTCATGGTAGACGGTGACGAAGGAGTGACGGTGGCGAGCGTCGCGGTCATTCACAATGAGGAAAGCGATGCCGATGTAGACGTAGTTCCTAACTATGTACAAACTGAGGATGTCAATGATGTTCATGTAAATAACGATCTTACAGAACGACAAAAGACCGATGTCAGAGGGATTTTAAATAAATTTAAATCTATTTTCACCGACGTCCCAGGTAAGACGAATGTGATTGAACACAAGGTGAAACTTTGTGAAGAAAAACCCATAAGGAGCAAACCATACCCAGTTCCGTTTGCGTTACAGAAGGGCATAGAGGAAGAAATAGAGCGTATGCTAAGACTCGGTTTGGTCGAGTATTCCATGTCTCCATATTCTACGCCGATGATCGCGGTGAAGAAGAAAGATGGTTCAAATCGTTTGTGTCTAGATTTTAGGAAAATAAATAAGATCACTGTATTTGATGCTGAACCGATGCCGAATCAAGATGCAATCATGGCTAAGATTTCACACAGCAAATATTTTTCAAAAATTGATTTATCTAAGGGATACTGGCAATTACCGCTGGACAAAGATAGCCGCAAAGTAACAGCATTTCAAACTAGTAAGGGATTGCTGCAGTTTACGGTTATGCCTTTCGGTTTAGTAAATGCTAGTGCTACATTTAATAGATTAATGAGAATCTTATTTAGCGATGTTGCGAATGTAGAGACGTTTGTGGATGACATACTCCTCCATACCGATAATTGGCAAGATCACATAATAACTTTAGAGTGCGTGTTGGCGATACTTAAAGATGCGGGATTGACAGCGCGTCCGTGTAAAACCGAGATTGGAAAGTCAAGCATCGAGTACTTGGGGCACTGCGTGGGGAGTGGCACTTCGTCTACCACTGGCGATAAAATAAAACGTGTTCTCAACATGGCGGTACCGCGTACGAAGAAGGAAGTCCGATCTTTTCTCGGGTTGACGGGCTATTACCGGCAGTACATAGCTGACTACGCAACGATTGCATCACCTCTTACTGATCTCACAAGGAAATCCGTACCGAATAAAGTGTCATGGGAGATTTGTCATCAAGATGCTTTCGATAGATTAAGAAATGCTCTTGCTAGTAAGCCTATATTGAAACTTCCTGACATGAATAAGAGTTCATAGTCAGACAGATGCGTCAGACATAGGGTTGGGCGCAGTGTTACTACAGGTTTGGGAGAACGAACGATGGCCAGTCATGTATGCCAGTCGTAAACTTAATACGGAGGAAAGGAATTACAGTATAATAGAGAAGGAATGTCTTGCAATCATTTGGTCTTTAAAGAAATTCTATCAGTATCTTTACGGCAGACATTTTGTAATTGAAACAGATCATCAGCCTCTTAAATATTTGCAAACATCCTGTCAATTGAATGCAAGGTTGATGCGATGGGCGATATATTTGCAGCAGTTTAGATTTAGCGTGAGAAACATAAAAGGCGTTGACAATGTTGGTGCCGATTGTCTGAGCAGATTAGGACACTGAGATGGATTTTTAAGAAATTGCAATTTCTTATTTTTGCGGGGAGGTAATTGTCATGCCATCTCATGTGCTAATCTGGAAATAGGTAATTAGTGTAACGACAGTTTGCGGGCGTGACGTCACCGTTGCCTGGGGCAAGGTTGGGTAGTTGTCTTGGTAGGCCCAAGCAAGGTGAACGCTCTTTTTAGCAGAGGCCGTCACGGTAATTGGACGGTGTGGTGTGGTAGTCCCGAGCTGTGGGCCACACTAATATCACGTCGGCTACTGACATTTTATAATTTAAACTATAAGGTATTTAAGCTCTACTACTGACATTGCATGATCAAGCATGAAGATTGAAGATGCTGATCCAGAATATATGTGCGATATGAAATATATATATATAAATCGGTGAACTAACAGTGATCAGTGAAGTAGTGAACAATGAAAATGAACATTATAGCCCTGTGAACAATTAATATTTCCTTGCGTGTTTTTTTTTTTAGCTTCGTGTTTATTTAAATTATATATACATTTGTTCTAGTATAATAAATACTAAATAATATGAAGTCTTTCTGTACAACCCATTAATTACAAATTCCTCTCATTAAAAAAAACAGTGTCTTAACTGTGCCGGCAAACCTCAATTGTAACAATCACCATCCTCACACCCACCCAGTCTTCAGGAGAGATGTCACTGCCACAACACCCTCGCACTTGACGTCAAGTCCGATAGCTATGCAGGGCAGCAGCAGCATTCGTCGGTGGAAGCTTTTCTGGAAGGACATATCCTGCAGAGGTCGTCCCTTTCATCTGGAACTTCGCCACACGTGCAGAGTTGAAGTTTGTTGATGCTGTGCACCCATATATCTCAGGAAGTGCATTCTCTCCTGCCTTTTAGATTCTCTCGTTTCGGGGAGTGTAGAGACATGAAGATCGAGGTTGCCTTTTGCATTGCTACATACTTTGAGAGGACAGTCCCTTTGCACGCTGTCCTAGCTGCCATCTGGCGGTCCGTTCCCGTTCCCCCTGACCTGGTGAGGGGTAAGGTCATCCCTCTCTGCAAGGGGAAGGGGGACCGATGGGACTGCAGCAATCACCGAGGCGTCACACTGCTCAGTGTACCAGGCAAGGTTCTCGCCCCCATCCTTCTGAGACGGATCAGAGACCACCTACTGAGGCATCAGAGGCCGGAGCAATCTGGATCCACTCCCGGGAAGTCCACAATAGACCGGATCATTGCGCTTCGAGTCACTGGAGAACGTTGTCGTGCCACGTTCACTTTCTTATCCGGCTTCGCTTTTTCCTTCTGTTTTCAGCTCGGTCTTTGAGCTTTCCTTCTCTTTCACAAGATCAATATTCATAAATACAAATATCCGAAAGTGTGCATCTGTGTGTGTGTGTGTGTGCGTGTGTGTGTGTGCGCGTGTGTGTGTGTGTGGTGTGTGTGTGTGTGTGTGTGTGTGCGTGTGCGTGTGTGTGTTGCGTGTGTGTGTGCGTGTGTGTGTGTGTGTGTGTGTAAGTAAGTGTTGAGTGTGTGTGTGTGTGTGTGTGTGTGTGTGTGTGTGGTTGCATGTATATATACGGCTATTAAAGTGCTGCGGAAACTGCATTATGCTCTTTTTCACCAATAGTTTGATGCGCTTCAATTGCTGTTAAGAAGCAAACACGATTATTAAGCTATTAAGCTATATTTGCAAATAAAAAAACAAACCGTTAAAACTTAAAAAAAAAAAAAAAAAAAAAAAAAAACACGATACCTTTTGAGCTGTATTTGCAAATAGAAAAAAATACAGAAAATAGAGTTTTAAGAAAAGTAGAAAGAAACCTTTACATAACGACAGCAACCCCTGCAAAATCACAATCCTACCAGAGAGAAGAGGGGATCCCAGCAGCCACGCCCCCAGCCGGCCTAAGGTCGCCCTCCTCACCCGCGCTTCCCTCGCTTGCCAAAAGTAATTACAACTTGCTGTGAGTCTTTCCTCATCAGCAAGTGAGAGACGGCGGTCGGGTCGAGGCTCATTAGCAAAAGCAAGTCATAGTTGTTGTTTTTTAAGAGAATGGATGAAGGGGTAGAGTAAAAAGGTAATTCAATTAGGGATTTCACGAACTTGGTGAGCTAATTTATTGGAAGAATTTTTTTTTTTTCAAAGCTCTTCTGTACAAACACACAAAGTTCCTGCCAAGTTTCGCGGTAAAATGGCGAGAACTTTGAAGACACCAAAATTAAATGCGTCACGTGTTTGGAAGGTTATGAGTAGTTACATTTCCTTCATCTGACCTTATTCGGAAAGCAGCATAGCACAGTAGAGATTAATGGCTTGAAAAGACTACTAAGAACCCTTTAATATTTTTTTGTTAATCTCCTTTTTACTCTCTCTTCTTCAAATTTTATTTTTCTTCTTCTTCTGAGCCCATTAATATCCATCATCAATATATGTGATGTGTTTATAATTTGCTATATTTATATATATATAAAAATTCCATCAAGAAAAAAGAGATAAAGAAGGGATGAGAGATAGGGAGAAGAGAAAGGGGTTGGAGTAAGGAATGTGACAAACACACACACACACACACACACACACACACACGCGCGCGCGCGCGCGAGAGAGAGAGAGAGAGAGAGAGAGATGTGGGCCAATATAAGAAGTAGACTTGTAACATCCAAGTCCGCTCCCCTTCTACGGTACTACGAGAAAAGGAGGTAGGGACTTCTTTCATCACAGCCTGTCCAATGACTGCGCTTCTGATGGTACTGCACTCGTCTCGCATGGTATAGAAGACGTTTTGCTAATTGAGGACTCCATGCGATGAAAGTACAGGTCTTCTTCGTCTTACAAATTCCTTTCTTTTCCTATTTTAACTCTCCGTTATTTCACTCTCTCCCCTCTCTCCTTCCCTCCTCCCTGTAATAACAGCAACTCCTTATTTGTAATTTAACAAATCGGCAACATTTAGGTTATTCATGGTATGAAGGGAAACTCTCTACTTCACTTACGGTCATCATCGCTAAAAACATCGTTAACACAGCATGACTTAACGGTTTTACATCTTATCATCATTCTATATAGTCACGGATATATGATAAGATGATATTCATGCTGAAAATCATGATAATATAAAGATATTAAAGCTTCAGTGACAGAATTTTAGAAAATGACACTGGGAAAACGAGAAATCAAGTTCATATCAGTTAGAAAACAAAACGAATAATTGAAGAAAGAAAAGAATTTAAAAACGATTGTTTTTTTGCCGAAATCTATTGGAGGCCATTTTAGACAAAGGAAAAGTATTATAAACACATT